CGCACAATAGAAGATGGAAGAGTAGGCGGAAAGGCGCACGCTTTCACACACACACACACAAAAATTAACAACTATGAGCAGCTGGAAGAGAATGACTCAGACGCAGCAAATGACACAGATTTAAATGTAGAAAATAATTAAGCGGAAAGTAGCCAGGTGGCACCAATGACACCCTCTATGAACACCCCTTTATGGGAAACCAGTCGGAAGCTTTCCCTGCTGGCAAAACAGTTCAAGAAGCCAGCGGTGCCTTTTCTATGATTACCAGCAAAATGACGATGAAGGTGATGGCAGTATCACAGTATTGAACATGGCTAGAATCGCAGAACTATTCATGTATGTGCTGAGTGATTCTATAAGCACGAAGCAGGTGCTATACGCAGCAAATGGACTGAGTCATTGACAAATTCTCCTGTGTGTGCAGTTACCTTCGTATTTGTCCCAGGGTATGTAGGTGTTTTTGGCAATGAACGAGCTAATAGATTGGTAGGTTCTGCATTAGCTGTAGATGGCCGGTCTATTGATCACGCCGACATTGTCAATGTAATTAACGTTCCGAGGATTTCAGAAGCAATGTGTCGACATCACTGCTAAAAAAAAAGATTTTGGAGTAAAGATCGGCATAGCAAAGCATGAAAGGCACATTTTGTCATACAGTTGGAATCCCAGAAAGGTGCAATGAGGTTTTTCTACCGACGGCATGGGTCGCATTAGTCAAGGTATCGCTGATAGTTACATTCACTTGAGCGTGTAGTCAGAAGACAGGGCTAATCTCTTACCTATAGGTAACAAGTACAAAGGAAAATACTGAAAACCTGTACCTGGAGAGAAAAATGATGCAGGTAGAGTCTCTGGTCTCTGGGCGCCACACGTGACCCGGGGTAAAGGCACAACGAGTAGTTAACCACATGGCGACGGATACTATTAATATAGAGACTCTTCTTTGGCTTTTGAGAAGGTAGATGGAGCTAACATCGGTGTGTCCTTAAAGTTGTGATGTGACGGTCTGGGAAGAATGGCGCTGCGAGGAGTTACAGCTGATCTGGCCGGTGCTCAACACTTAGGGTAAAGGATAGACGGATATACAATCAGGCAATTACTTGGGCCATCGGAACTGGGTCTTTTCGCTTGCTGCTGAAGATCGGGACTGACGGTTTATGGGGGTGTTCTGATTGCTGGGATGTAGATTCTTAATTCAACATGTTGTGATGTCGAATTTCTAACGAGTTGAACCTAGATGATGTAGAGTTTTTAAGAATACTTTGCCCCGTCTGGAATTGCAGCCTGAAGTAACTCTAAGCACCGAGTCAAAGAGCCACAGTTCGGATGGAACCTCTACTGACCGTAAAACCCAGTCAACTGTGAAACCTGAGAGCAAAGAGGTGAGTGTAAACTATGGGTTGTAGGCAATCAAATGAATTGATGTGATTTATAAGTCACAGACAAGAATTAAATACACAACATTCTTCCCTTCTTAGTTTTTAATGTTCGTTCACTTCTGCACGCTGGTTTTGTTAAGTTTTACGTGCACATCTGGTTTTACGGATCTGGCTTATCTGTATGCAGACTGTTAGAACCTCGTGTCTTAGGCACATGCACTCCGGAAAGACCCTGAATTAGTCGCAATTAACGACATGCTTTTGTGTGGGGCATTGTGTCTGGTCTTTCGCCCTAGAAAACAGTACTCACACGGGAAAAGCAAATAACGATCTTATTTGTTCGTCACCGACAGGGCAGGTCTGTGTGCCCAATTTGTGACCCTTTGAAAAAAAGTTTGTTCGTTCGTTCTTTCATACCATAAGGAGTTCACCCAACAACGCACGTCAATTGGGGTTGGTTCTGCGACGTCCAGTAAAGGATGCGCAACTAACCTTTCCACGCTTAGAGTTTAGTTGTCATGACTTTTCCTCGTTTGTCGTGACATTCTAACCTTGAGTTCGTGTCTGGGTCACCTCGTACAGACAGGAGTGATAAACATCAACATATATTTTGGTGCCATAGGTTGAACTGGCACCTGACACTAAAGAAAACGATTTTTTTCCCGTAAAGAAGCCAGCCAACCTGGTCATACACGCTACATAACATAAAAATCGAAAGCTATAGTTATCATGCAGCTAAATAAAACATGTCACATGAAACGGACGGTCCGATATATTTGTAATTAGTGTTGTGGATTTACTCAGTCTACTCGTATATCAAGACTTACCGCACTAGAGGTTACCACGTAACCGACCTCTGGTGTCCAAGTTTAACTATGCTATCAGTCTGTACGTTTTTACAGCAGAACCTCCGAGAGGAATGCGAGAGGAAAACTAAGAAAGAGATGGATAAATGGTGGCTCAGAAAACCTGCAAAAAGATGAACCAATCCATCACACAAGCCACCCGAAAAGCGCAAGACAAACACAGAAAACCACGACACTGGGCTACAACCTGGTATCAGTGAGACGACACCACCACGACTCTGGGCTACAACCTGGTATCAGTGAGACGTCACCACCACGACACTGGGCTACAACCTGGTATCAGTGAGACGACACCACCACGATACTGGGCTACAACCTGGTATCAGTGAGACGACACAACCACGACACTGGGCTACAACCTGGTATCAGTGAGACGACACAACCATGACACTGGGCTACAACCTGGTAACAATGAGACGACACCACCACGACATTGGACTACAACCTGGTAACAATAAGACGACACCACCACGACACTGGGCTACAACCTGGTATCAGTGAGACGACAAAACCGCGAGACTGGGCTACATTCTGGTATCGGTGAGACGACAAAAGAAGAAAGATATGTACGGTTGAAAAGCGCTTCCAGGATTTTTACCTGAATGATTCTCAACCTTGAGATGTAACTTCTACAGACTGTAAACCTTGAAAAGGTGGTGGTGGTGGGGGGGGGGGGAGGAGGGGGGGGGGTTTATGATTTGTTAGTCTGAGATTTAGTTGCGTCCTTACCCACACAGGACTAGCTACAGGTGGCACCGGGCTGCTGTAGACCTTATAAGTGCCCTAATTATAACCTGTTTGGGAGGTTGAGCTGGGTATCTGGGATCTGCAATTCTGACTGATTTTTTTTTTAAATTTCAAGGTGGTAAACACTGAGGAGCTGCCCAGAATAGATAAATGATGGATACATCTATGTATTAGTTTCATAAAGTGTAGGACAAGGAAAGACAAGCAAATAGAATTTACATCTTTCAATCCCAGGGGCTTCTTGTAGCAGATGGTCACAGTGACCAGTGCAATATTTTCAAACAGTAAAAATGGCAAAAGTAGCCAATATGACTTTTTAGCTGAAATGCTATAGAAAGATTCTCAGAATGTTTTGGACAAAAAAAATGAGAAATATTGACATCTTAAAAGATCTGAACATCAAGGAAGATTGGCTAATATACAGCATCCTTTCTCGAAAGCTGAAATATTTTGGTCATATCAAGCGCCACGACGGATTGGAAAAAATATAGCAGAAGACATGGTACCAGGAAGGAGGGGCAGAGGCCGACCGACACGAAGATGGGCACAGGATATAAGTGACTCCTTGAGTGTGAAAGTGCATGAGGAGGGAGAACTGGCAAGAGACCGAGTTTCTTACAGGCAGACTGTGATGAGAGCGACGTTCTGCAAAGGACCTGCTACATGATGATGATGAGCAAATATGAAAGCCAGATTCGATTAGTGTACTCTGACCAATCGTCAGGATAAAAAAAATTATTCGATGTTTGGGATGCATATAGAAAGTTTATTACGCATCATACGTTACATAGGAATAAAAGAATTGTTAGTTGGTGACAGTCAAATGTCCTTGTGCGTTCCAGGGCTCAGATTTGAGGAGAACAATGATAGACTAATTGCCCCTGAACAATTCTTAAACGGCGACTATAGTGCCTTCCCAAAGTCCTGCCCTCACACTTTAACAAACTTCTCGAAAACTCCTGTATGGATCATCACAAATATTTTTGCACGTAGCCTTAGATTTCCCAAATCCTCACGTTTTTATAATTTACAACTGCACAGGTGCTGCTGTTTCTTCAAAGCGGCGAATTTGTTTTTCTTAGTTTGCTAATAATTTCTGTAACCCTAAAAGGTAGAATACATAGTTATTGACACACGTGTGGATATTGTTTGGAAATTAGTTCGCATGTGCAGCGACGGGTGGCGATTATTGTGATAGCCTATACGGCACACAATGAAACATCTGCAAGTCACAGGAGACCGATGCTGAAGATGGCCACCTGAGAATCAAATGACCATGACACGCGGCAATTTGATGTTTCTAACACCTGCTGTTTCTCACAACTGTTAGAATTCGGATTGTTTCCTTTGATTCCTTTTTTTTTTTTAAGGCAAAAATAAGGCACAATAAAAATTAAAATTGTGTTTACATTGAAAAGAAATTTTTAAAGGACATGATTGTTAACATGTGGCATGCCACATTTTGACAACCTACCCTGAATGGGTACTGAGTTACACATGTTTACAGTTGGGCACCACTTCTGGAATAGAGTATACAATATTATAATTTATACCAGTATTATAATTTATTTTAATTTGCGTTATAGCAAAAACGAGTAAAATAAGATCGCCTTTAACGCGGGAATAAAGTTTCTGACCTCATTATTTAAAATATGATTTATTAGTCGTCATTTTTGAGTAGGGTAGGGGAGGGGAATGGAGTGGAGAGGGTCAATAGACGCAAAGCCTGACTAAAACACCTGTCGTTAAGGGTAACTAATTAAACATTTTTCTTCTGAAGTCTCAGTGCATTAGCCTAACAGGCAGTTAAATAACAGTCTGCCTACAAGTAAGGTATATCTGTGAAACGGATGTGCACCGTGAATTCAAGTTCTTCAAGAAGAAAGTCTCAGAGCAACAAGAACCTCTGTCGGAGTGTGCAGCTGGTGAACGTTAAGGGGATGCGGAAGAATAATTAGTCACAGAACGTTGAGGTAATTAAGCGGATGTTCCCATTTATGATCCACAGACTGGAATCGTCAAAACTCCTGTGGAATCACCCTTCAAGAAGTCGCTCTCCCAAGATCGCGACTTGCTGAGAGAGACCTGGTCAGGTCGATACGACTTTTTGCTGTCATGCATTGGGTTTGCTGTCGGTTTGGGGAATATTTGGAGATTCCCCTACCTCTGTTTCGAAAATGGAGGAGGTCAGTAGTTTAATTTATTCTAAACCCGATTTTTTTCCTAAATGAAACATTTCTGAAAAATTGGAGAAAAGCAAAACAAAGGTTAGAGCTGAATGTTTGTGGGGAAGCAACTAAATACATGGGATAGCAGCCACGATCCAGACACTGCAACATTTACCCGTAGAAGACTTGCCTTAAAACAGACGGTTCTTGCTAGTCACACTCGCCATCGCCATGGGCTGCGAGTCCCATGCCTTTCCATCACACAGTATAACACTATCATCTGAAAAAACGGAAAAGTTCGCACAAAACAATTACAAGAATCACCACAGCTCAATATTAGTTCATCTTCTTCTGTTTTTGACCTGAAATGTGCGGTTAACACACTGTGCTCGGATTTACAGCCAGACGGTGGTACATGACCCTTTCGGTCGAATATAGCTGATTTTAGCACACCTCCAACAAGTAACCTTTCAGGGTATTTTTATTGGGTGCAGTGGGTTCGATTTTTATCCTAAAATGTGTTTCATAGGACCTGAATATGCGATCTGCATGAAGGAAAGCGATATGTCATTGTCACTAATGAAAAGCTATAGAAGAGAAGTAAACGAAATCCACTGCATTGAGAGATGAGGAAAGCACGTTGGCTTTGGATAGGACACATGGGAGGGGGGAGGGGTGGGGAGAGAGACCTGAAAACAAGACTTCTAGCATGTCCTTACAAATAACTCTACAAGTTTTTAAAAAAAAAGTTGTTTAATAAAAATAAAGACTAAACAATACATGAGAGCTTTCTAGGCGATCTTACCCATACAGACTGGGCAGCAAGATACTTCATAACAAAGGACGCTCTGAGATTATAGACGCATACGAAAGGCAAATGTCGGGGGAAGTGGTTCAACGGGTCTAAACCTTGTTTAAGTGCTGAATAATAACACTTATAGGCTGAATGGCAAACATTAATATATCTGAAAAAATTATTTCGTCACCACAGTTCTGCTGTTGCAGTATCTGTTACTTGGCGCTCGCAGGTTATTCCGACATTCTGTTCTATCATGTGCAATCTCTTCGACATAATGAATAAAACCCAGTCCAGCCGCTATGGTCTCTCTCTTGAACGTTCGTTTTAGGGTTTTTTCTGGACTTCTTCGCTTCCTCAGTCCTTTTAGTTGCCATGCTAGTGCTTGTCTGGCGAGTCTCTGTTGGCGTCCTCTCCGGGTCTGTCCAATAAGGTGCCATTTCCTTTGTCCTATACCTGTTGTTACCACTGGTTTCTCGGAATGGGAAGCATATGATATGTATATATACAATAATCACAAGGGTTTTATAGGGTCGAATGGGTTTTCTGGTACTCGACCTTGTTGGAGTCGCATCTGCATAGTGGCAGTTGCATGGCTGGCGTAACAGAAGCCATCTTTCGCATGAATAGTTACAGACTCAATGATCAGGTTTAGGAGCATCAAAACTGGCCACCCGGGGAGAATGAATGGACAGCATGCAGAGGTCCTGCCTGCAGAGACTATCTTCGCCTGTTTTTCCTATGCTTGTCTCTGCCATGCCCAACCTAAGCCTCTCTAACACTCCAATGCCCCTATGTAACGTAACAACTCTGAACGATGCCCTTTTCAGATTGTCCCTGTTCAACAATCAAATTGCTCCCTAACAATCAACCCTCACCTAACCCCCCCCCCCCCCCCCCCCACTTTTTCTCTTTAGGAAACACTGATCTTGGCTGTATAAAGTGGAACATGCCTAAGTGAAAGAAGATGAAAGAGCCGACAGATTGGTCGTGTCTGCTATGGTTGGTGGAGGAAGAAGTATCGACAGGGCAGACGTAAAGAATGAGCTGTGTTCCAGAGACTTTGTGACAAAGGAGCCAGACACAATAAAGCAACTGTTGGAAACGAGTACTATACGAGGATAAGCATTTAGAAATCGCTTCCGGGGTAAAGAGAGAAGAAAAATCAGTCAACTGCAACTGCGTATGTTGAGCATGGAGACAACGAGATAGCTGCTACATAGGAGGACGGAGTTTGAATGGGTCGGACTAATGTATTAGCATGTAAATGTGGACAACAAGTATCAAATAGTAAAATACCACACACATCCAAATAAAATAAAATAAAATAAAATAAAATAAAAGATAGCTGGGTTTAGTTCTGCAATATCCTGTAAACGATGTACAACTAACTTGTAGGTCTTGACTTTGCTTTCGTTTCAGTTGCTTTTCTAATACCTTACATGTTTTTCATGGTGACCTGCGCCCTACCGCTCTTCTATCTGGAGGTGGCGTGCGGACAGTTTGCTAGCCTAGGCGTCATTGCTATTTGGAGAATTTGTCCTTTGCTTCGAGGTAAGATGAGTAATATTCTCTGCAATCTTGTTTTGACAGCTCAGACGGGAATGAGAATTCACCAAAGCTACACATCATATCCTGGTATATGGAAGTGAATCATGGACAGTTGGGCCATCAGAGAAAACAAAATGGAAGCGGTTTTGATGTTGTTGTTTAGACAAGTTATGAGAAAACGCCGGACAGATAAAAAGAGTAATGAATGAAAATATCTTGAAAAAACAACCAGCCCATCAAGAGAACTGATTGTCCACCTTAGAAGGAGACAGTTTACATTCTTCAGGGCAGGTCACGAGAAGGAGAAAACTGGAGTACATCGTGACAGTTGGAAAGTGGAGGGAGAAAGAGTTAGAGAGTGACCGTGAGAGAAGAAACTGGGTAGTTTGACATCATCGCGTGGAGGTTCACCGGTGTCAGAACTGATTCCATGTACCCGTGACAGAAGGTTGTGGATCGACATGACTACCAACGCTACACGACATGGACTGTAAGGAAGAAGAAGAAAACAAGTAAGGGCGTTATGGTTTTCAAAACTGGATTGAAAAGGCATGAGAGGCACACCTTGATCAACAACACGGGATAGAAGAAGCAGGAGAGGAAGTGGGTAAAAAGAGGAGAGTGAACAGCAGTAGGTGATAAAGGAGGTCCGAGATAACGATGAGGAAACAGAGATGCAAAAGAAATTTTACAATGTCAGGATATGCTACACTGTGTTGTGATGAATTGTATCAAACTGTATTGTTTCATGATATTATATTATATTGCATTATATTATTATATTATTTGGCATTGTATTATATTATATTATTATATTGCATTACATTATATTGCATTATATTATATTGCACTGCATTACACTACATTATGTTAACAGACATTAGTGCACTGGTAAATGGTAGAGGCATATATTTTTAAGAAAAAATCCACACATTTTGTTTAGTGCATGCGTCATCAAACTCGACACCTTTCATTCTCCTCAGTGCATTTCCTAGTGCCTAATTTAGATAGATTCTAGCTGGGGCTGGGAGCCGAAATCGAAGAAGGCACTCCCTTTCGATAAAGTTTCCGCCACAGGACGGCTGGTTTTTTTCCTCTCCTATTTTATATTTGAAGTGCTTGCCACTCAAAGGAGACAACATTCGTCTTGGTTACTCTCGTATTTGTCTCTCACAAGTGGGCGCGGTTTAACGTTTTCAACTCAGGCTGCCCTAGGGGTAGGGCAACTTTTGAAATTGAAGAGTTTGTGTTTAATCCTGTGCTGCACTTACTTATCCTGATGTTCATACAAGAGCACAACTGTCTACATTCGTTTCAGATGTAAACATTCAGATGGACAGAATGAAAAAGAAAAAAGTTGACAAATTATTACTGTAAAGATCTATAATGTAACTAAAAAGACTAGATACTGACGAAATATGTTCGCACTTAGTAAAATAAGCGGCTAGAGCAGCCTTACTTTAATAGAATGAAGCCACAAGACTCAACAAGAACACATTTAGTATCAAATTTCATCTCTAGTTCCAGGTGGTGATGGCAACAGTTAAGCCCAATGAAGTCACGTCGTTCGAATGTACCTTGCATTATACACAAATGAGTGAATGAATGAAATGTTGGGAAGAATCAACTGTACATGTAATATTGTTGTCCCTTGTTGGATTAAGGAAAGCACATCATCTGGCGGTTTTCCTATTTCTGATCCCGAGTTCTATTAGGTCTATTCATATCCAAGGTAAAAAATGATCACCTGGCTCAGAAAAACATGCTACCAAGTACTGGACAACAAAATGATTTTTTTCTAGTTTTATAGGATTTTTCTCTGCATACATAGTAGGTTACCGATAATCCGTCATGATACCGTGCTTAATCCACTGGATATTTTAGTTGATGTCTTGTCCCACAGGTAGAGGAAGCAGGCTGCAGTGTAGAGCCTGCCAACAGTGATGTGTACCAATAATCCTCTAATTACAGTAGACACAACAATTACAAAGAAAATATTTCCTCTCGATGGCACTGGATGATGATGGGTAACTAATTTAACCCACGTAGGATGATTCACAAATCGTTGGAGACAGTCAACTAGAGACTATTAAAACACTGACTCTCATAAAAGAATCAGCTAAAAAAATTGGACTAGTTTTCTGTTAAGATACTACAGAATACATGATAATAACTAGACTGGAAGGAATATAAACTCCAGCCACATACAAGTCGATAATATGAAAATCAAACGAACGGAAACACACAAGTACTTGCGTGTAAACTGCAACTGCTCCGACATCTAAGAGAAGATATACTTTCTGGAATACATGAAATACTATCTAGAATACAATCTGGAAATAAAGTATACTATGCCCTTCAACATCTGCTAACGTCAAAGTGTCTCGCAACACCCAGATCCACATCTATAAAACGTTGATAAGACCTGTCGTTTTATATGGCTCTGAAACGTGGAGCACAACTTAAAGAGATGAAGCGTTATTACAGGTTTTC